TCATGAATGCCAGCAGTCCAGAAAAAGAGGCAAATTTCCTTCTTAGGAAAAAAAAAATCAAGTTTGCATTATCCTGGCGTAGGCCAGAGCACTTCCCAAAATGTGCCTTCCAAAGGCTCTGCCCTTAAGCAGCTCTACTGCCAATCTGTAAGTTGGTTCTGGGACCACATCCATGCTACAGTCCTGCACCCCAGGGAGCATCGTGCCCAAACAAGTTCCTGGTCACTGACAAACTACCTGAAAGAAACAATTTTATGGAGGGGAGTTTATTTTGTCTCTTGGTTGAAGGAGATACAGGCCCTTCTTCCCAAAAAGCATGAACACTGGCCTTTTTTCCCTTGACAATGGGATCTTGCTGGGGGTGCAGAGTGGATGGGCTTTTCTAAAACTCAGCAGATAAGGAAGAAGACAGGGGAGGAGTGCTCTTGTCAAAACTAAGCCTATGTACCCCTCAAGAACCCATCAGAGGTCTTGCCTAAGCTGGAGTCTACCTCCTAAAGCTTCACAACATAAAGACACAGTACCACAAACTAGTAACAAAGTGCTGAAGCACAGGGGTCTGTTGAAGGCTCTTCACACGCAAACTCTAACAGGAATACAAAAGGATATCAACAGACACTTCCACAGAAAGAAAGTCTAAGTTAGCACAGAGCACAAGAATTCTGCCTCTCAGCTCCTCTTCATCTTTGTCAGCATCACTCTCCTTTCTCCTTTCTGCTCACCATATCTCCCCCCACCCTACCAGCTCACACATCCGGCCATTGCCCTGCGTGTTGGGGGACATCCTGCAAACACTGCTTGGCTTATGTACTCAAACGTCTACAGAAAAAAAAAAAAGGAAAAGGAAAAGGTTTTTTTCTATCACTTCTAGGTTCAAACACTTCAGGAAAGACCTTTTGCTTTGGCTCAAATAATCCAATCACACTTAGTTTTTACTAAAGGTATGGCTCCTAGTAGGGTAGCGATACTCGAGTGAACGGCCCCACTCGTGAAGCACATTGACAGCACAAGTTGGAATGGGGTTATTAAATTAAAAATATAAAATATAAAATAAAACAAGCATGAAATTGTAGGCATTGGGAATGAAAGGAATTATGAGGAGTTGGGAATAAATATGATCAAAATACATTTTAAGAAATTCTCAAAGAATAATAAAACTATTTAGCTTAAAGAAAGAACACTTAGAGATTAGGAAAAAATAAAACAATACATATCTGAGGAAAGAAATGGCAAATTTTTAAAGCCTGGGAACCAGATGAGTATATATGGATTCCCTGTGGGTTGAGGAGCCAGCCCAATTTGGTCTTCTCTACCTAAACTATTTCCTTGTGGCAGGCATTGTACCCTGTAAAACTTTTAAAGGGGGTCCTAGAAAGAACTTGTGAGGTATGAAGAAAGTTCATGAGTAATTAACTTAACAGTACATTCTTTTTGATGGCATCGAGGAGAAATGCAATGTTTATTCAGAACAGTTTTCAAGGCTAAATAATTGGGAAGTAAAAAAGAAGAGAATGAGTTCTCCCACATACCGATTGCAGGCAGAGTGAAGGGGGGCTTCTGTGGGGCTTCAGTTTTCTTTGTATTAACCCGTTCTGGTTTTCTAGTGACATAGATCTTGTTTTTCCCTAATGCTTGAAATACTAGCATCTCTGTCTATGAAGAAATTTTCTGAGAATAGATTATAGGGCCAATCTCTAGGAAAGTACCTCTCTTGAGTCTTCTTACCAGAATCCTTGAAGAAGGATAAAACTGTTTTTGAAAACTCTACAATGCCAGTAGGTCCATGGGCACCACGATAATGGCGCCAACATACAAAAGCCATGCTCAGAATCCTACTACAAACTCTAGTGTATGGAAGTCTGCATGCTCATTGAAATGCAGCTTAGTCGACTTTCTTTTCATTGTTTACTTTTAAGTTAGTCTATATTTTAGCTAAAAGGACATTAGTTATTAAAATAACAACAGCCACGGGTGTGTGGAGGGGGAGAGTACAGAAAGAGACTTGAAAGGGGGAGAGGGCATTTCAGGGTCAGTTAGAAACCTAGTATAAGAGAAACTTCCAGGAATCTACAAAGATGACCCCAGCTAAGATTTCTAACAATAGAGGTTACATAGTCTGAACAGTCTATCTCCTGTAACCAGGCAAGAGTTCCAGTGGAGGGATTTAGACACCAACCTACCACATAACCTTCGACCTACAGTCTCTTCTGCCTATGTGATGTGCTGGGATATGGGTAGCACAGAGACTGTGGGGTGCCCAACCAATGACGGGTCCAGTCTAAGACCTATCCCATCTCTGATATTGCCTGGAGCACCAGGACCCAGAGACTGGATGGCCCAGAGACCTCGGATAGAACCAAACACAACTGAATAAAAAGGAATGTCAATATAACGATATTCTGCTATAGTCATAAATTGGTGCCTAGCCCAATAGTCATCAAAGATGCTTTATCCAACAACTGATGGAAACAGATTCAGAGATTTACAGCCAAACATTAGACTGAGCTCGGAGAATCCTATTGAGGAGAGAGAGGAAGGATTGTAGGAGCCGGAGGGGTCAAAGACATCTCAAGAAAACCCACATAATCAACAAATTTGGGCTGATAGGGGCTCACAGAGACTGAACAGACAACCAGGGAGGCTGCATGGAACTGACCAGGCACTCTGCATGTATGTGACAGTTGTGTAGCTTGGCTTCTTGTGGGATTCCTAACAGTTGGAGTTTCTGACTCCTTTACTGGCTCTGGGACCCTGTTCCTCATGCGGGGTTACCTTATCCAGCTTTAGTACAAGGGGAGGTGCTTAGTCTTGCAGTAACTTGATATGCCATGTTTTATTGCTATGCATGGTAGGCCTGCACTTTTCTGAAGAGAAATGGAGGAAGAGTGAATTGGGAGACAATGGGGAGGTGGGAGGAGGAAGGTGAACTGTGGTCAGTACATAAAATAAATAAATAAGTTAGAAAAAAATACAGCTCACTCCTGTTCTAATTTGGACTGGCTCTATACCTCTGTGATACTGTGCTCACTTGAAGAAAAACCAGGAGAAAAACAATTTCAAGTTCCTTTTAACTTTTTCTTTAATGATTCTATATTGCTTGGAATCAAAGAGTATAGTTGATAGCAAGATATAGTCGCGGAATCTTATTTCTAAATGACATTGGCATCAAGGTTGACTTTACAGACTTTGTTAAAACTTTACAGGATTCCTATCTTGGAAGATAGATGCTGTGTAAGAAAACTAGGGCAAAAGAGATCTGAAATATCAATTTGAAAAAAAATAAATGTGTTTGCCCTGAGGTCAAAGGACACCTTTATCAGAAATGCTTTTAAGAATCTAAAGTAATTTTACTTGTATTTACTTTAAGCCAATTAAACAAAGTCACAGTTAGAGTGGGGACAGAAGTGATCAGAGTCATAAGGACTATGACCTGGTCTGCCTCAGGAGGTACAAGTAGGGAGAGTCTAACTGAACAGCTAGAAGGATACCGACCATCACACCAGGAATGTGATTCTATGTGAGAAGAGAGCTGCCATGCAGTGCTCTGTGGCATGCAGCTTTCAGCTCCGTCAGGTGGCCTCACAGTAGCTACTGAATTGGCTATCAGCTCTGCTACTTGGGGGTTTCTCTCTGCAGAGATGATGGCTGCCTTCTTTGGCGGTTCATCTTTTTCTAATACAAATCTAATCATTGCTGCCTACTACTGAGTTACTTGTGTGGCTTCTGCCGGTTCTTTTTACTTCTCTAAAACCTTATATTCAATGACACATTATCTAGGATAATTCTAAAATATTGATAATCACCTCTCTGGAGACCAGTTCTCTCTTGTTAATTAATTTTCAAGAACCAAAGCAAGTGTATTTGGGGATCCCGGTGGTGATGGACAGCGGCATCACATAGACACCATAGGCCTCATCTCCTGACATGTGAAGATGCAAGGAAGCTAGCAACAAGCTGGAAAAGGATATATGATATAACATTTTGAAAATTTTTGCTACCAGTAATGATTGGCTGGTGTGGCCTGTCATTGAGCTGCAGTCAAAATAATCAGATTCTGAAACCCATAAGACAACAAAAGTTCTTTCTCTATGGAAAATTTCTGTAGGCTTATACACATGGTCAACAATGGTAGCTCCTTCTTCATTAGCTTTAGTGTCAAGAGGAACTTGCAGATGGACACAAATATTTTAGTGCGATTTCTTCTGGGGTTCCACCCAGACTAACTTTCCCTGGGCCTTCATATATGTTTCCCAGACCAGAAGCACCTTTAAAAGTGACCTTGAAAGCCAGAAGTATGGCCTCCCTTATCTATTGCATTTTTTAGATGGTTTAAGAAACATCCTTTGTTCACTGCCTAATGGTGATAGACATTTTACTTCTACTGCAACTATTTCTTCACTTCCATCCCCGTTATCATCACCTTTGGTAATATTTCCATCTTTCTTTCTGAAAGTCAAAAGTGTAACATATAAATGATCACCTTTGTATCCACACAAGAAGCAAAACTCAATTTAAGAATAGTTTAAGAAAAGCCATTAAGGTATCGATCATATAGCCATATATAAATGTGTGTGTGTGTGTGTGTGTGTGTGTGTGTGTGTGTGCATGTGTGTGTGTGTATGTATGTAACTATCCTGACAGTGGAGATAACCTAATTGAGAAAAAAAAGGTACCCCTTTGTCTTTTTGTTGTACGTCTCACTATTAATAGCTGAGCCATCTCTTGTCATCCTAGAGTTGACATTCTGGTAGGGTGAAAAAGACATCAAACAGTAAACATTTAAACAGATGATATTATAATATACTAAATAATATGGAGACACATAGACAAGGAAAGAAGAATCAGGAAGTTCAGGCAGTCATAATTTTGAAAAATACGGTTGTAGGCCTAGACTTACTATGAAACTAACAAAGTAGAAGTCTCAGGAGCCCATACTCTTTTATGTAAACTTTTCCAAATGCTTTACAAATGTTGCAAACTTATGTTGCATGCTGTCTATTTTAAATATGGAATATTCCACAAATTTTCATGTCATCCTTGCATAGAGGCTAAAATAATTTTCTCTGTATCTTCCCAGTTTTACTATATGTGCTGCCAAAGCAATATGCTGTTGTAACTGAAACCAGTTACATTTTTTTTCTTATTCTCCTTCTGTCAATTGGCTTGTGTGGATAGCACTGAGTAGATTCTAGCCATGCTTAGGTCATAGCTAAGAGGCAGTTAAGTTAGAAGTATTTTTACCTTCATTTTAGCAATACATATTTCTGTAATTTACTATCACTTTTGTTTCTAGTATGGCAATAAAGGTTTCACAAACCAGCAAGTTCTGCAACTAGGTGGTAGGTATACTCAACCCCTATGACAGTTGATTTTCTGAGACAGGGTTTCAGGTAGCCTAGAATAGCCTTGAACTCTCCATGTGGCTGAAAATAACCTTGAATGACTGAGTTTCCTGCTTTCACCTCCCCAGCACTGGGGTTTGCCCAGTCTGTACAGTGCTGGGGTTCAAACTGCAGCTTCCATGTTTTCTAAACAAATGCTCTACCAACTGAGCTGAATTTCTAGGCATCCTCAATGACAATTTTAACATAATTTTATTACTTTTTAATATGCTCCATTCTTTCCATTAAGAAGTCTTCCATTTTATACTTAAAGGCACCTTGAGCCACACACAAGCATTTAAAGGCTCTCACACCTGGCTCCAACCCGTCATTTAAGTGTTAGCTCCCACAGAAGTTCTACTGACACAGTGTACTCACCTCAAACCCAGCTTTCTTCCTTCCTTGGACTCTGACTTCTCTCGTGATCTTTTCCCAGTCTCACATAGTCTTTCTTGCTATTGCAAATTTATAGATAATAAAGTAGAAAAATACTCACAAAGATAAGCTAAAATAGCATGTATTATGCCACTTCATAACCATCCCAGGGCTAATGAATGTATCAATTAAAAGGTGTTCATTATCATTAATTAAAGTATAAGAGAATTTGATACTCCCTAAAATCTTAGTGTTTTTATGGGATTTCTAATGCAGGAAAGAGTGAGTCTCTGATTCTTGAGCCTTCTCTTGGACTCTTTTCCTCATGTATTTTGTGTTGTTTAATTCCAATATGTTAGTTTTTGTTTTATCTCATTTTTATTATTACCTCTTAGAAGCCTGTTCATTTTCTAATGAGAGAAATTTCTAGTGTTGAAAAAATGTAATAGAAATTTCTTAAATATGATAACAGTCCTAAGATTTTTTATAGATATTATGAATTACAAGTTGTTAAGAAACTGAATCTTTTTCAACTGTGGTTAATCTAAAATTTAGGAGGGTGTATAAACCAGGCTAGAGGAAAGAATGTGACATCTTTTTCTCTATATAAAAAAAATTACAAAATTGTCACCTGTAAAAGAAGCAATATCTAGTCAGAACATTAGAAAAGTATTAAAGAGGTATGTATGGTCAGTTACTAGTAAACATTTTGTTATACCTTGGGTTTGTGATATTTGAAATAGTTTAAGCTTTCAGATGTGGTTTTTCATTATAAATAAATACTCATTTTCATGTGTAAATACGTCATTTGATATTTTTAATATTCTTTGTATTTGTAAGGGAGGAGTCTCACAGATTGTATGAACTGCAGATGCTAAAAAATCTTGATCAGTTCTGGGATATCAGAGAAGACTTTATTGATATGCTGAGATTTGAATAAATCAGGAGGCAGGAAAGTCTCCAGGAGAAATGATTTCCAAGTAAAAGAAACATAAAGGGGAAGGTCATTAATTAAAAAGATATATTCTAGACAGTCATTATACTTCCTACTGCATTTTTTTTCTTTTATTGAAAATATATGTTTTTATATCTAGAGATTATGGTTTCTCCCTCTCCCCTCCTATCTTGATCTACTCCCTTTCTGTCTCTCATAAAAAAACAAGCAGTCTCCTAAGGAGTAATAATAAAATAAAATAAAAAACTAGTTTATTGGAATTGGAGGAAACTAAAGACAGGGGATAAAAGAATCCAAGAAAAGACTCAGGAATCTGAAACCCACTTTCCCACATTCAGGAATCACAAAAAGACATTAAACTGGAAAATACATATGCAAAGAACCTGGTGCATACCCATGTGGGCGTTGGACCTACTGCCTCAGTCTCTGTGAGTTCATACGTGCTTTGATTTTGTTGCTTTAGAGGGCCTTGCTTTGTTCATTCCCCATCTTTCTGTCTCGTACACACTTTCTTCTTTCTCTTTCACAGGGTTCCAGGTGTCCAGAAAGGAAAGATTTGATGGAGACAACCCATTTAGAGCTCAGTGCTTTAACTTCTATTAATTTCTGCATAATGTCTGGCTGTGGATCTCCATATTTGTTTCTATCTACTGCAGGAGGAAGCTTCTCTGATGATGTTTGAGTAAGCTCAGTGAGTATAGCAGAATATCATTGGGAATCATTTTATTGCTACTTTTCTTTCCTCTTTCATTTTTTTTCTTTCTTTTCTTTTTCTTTTTAGAAGAGTAGTGATGTGGGATTCCGCTCTGTATGCTGTGAATACCACTGGTGAATAAAGAAACTGCCTTGGCTTTGGCCTGTTGATAGGGCAGAACTTAGGTAGGCGGAAAAATTAAACTGAATGCTGGAAGGAAGGAAGAAGGCAGAGTCAGGGAGAAGCCATATAGCCTCACCAGACAAAGACACCAGAACTTTACCCAGTAAGTCACAGCCTCATGTCAATACACAGATTACTAGAAATGCATTAAATTAAGATGTAATAGTTAGCCAACAAGAAGCAAGAGCTAATGGGCCAAGCCGTGATTTAAATAGTGTGGTTTCTCTGTGATTATTTCGGTGCCAAGCAGCCAGAAATCAACAAACGGCCTCCTTCCACAGAGTAGTATTTGGTTTTACCCTAGATCCCTGTGTGATCTAATAGTATTGTCATATATGGGTTCTATTCTACAAAGTGGACCCTCAGAGTGTTCGGTTATGTTGGCCCAAGGTTTCGTGGCTTAGTTTGTGGTAGGTTTCTCTCTTGGTAATGTGCAGAGTACAAACTTGCACTCCCCACAGCTCCACATTCTCATCAGCATGTGCTATCACTTGTTTTATTGATCGTCTAGCACGATTGAGTGCGAGATGAAATCTGAAAGTAGTTTTGATTTGCATTTCCCTGATGGCTACGGATGTTGAACATTTAAGTGTTTCTCAGTCATTCGAGATTCCTCTTTTGACAAGTCTCTGTTTAAATCTGATAAGATGAGAAATGTAAAGTTTAGGAGACTTTAAAAGGCACCCTGTTTGAGAAGTGTACTGCTGCAGAAACTTGGCATTGGTCTCTCTGTTGGCCTTGAAAGTCATAGATAGAGAAGAGAACACTGCTTGTCTATTTAACTTTTAGTTTCTTTTTGCCGAACTAACAGAACTCTGATAGTATTTGGGCTTTTAGTGTGCCTGACTAAAAATCTAATTTCCCAGCCTTCTTAGCAGAGGCCATATGTTGTAATTGTCATTAGTCAAGTCAAATGGAAGAAACCCTCTGACATATTAATTCAGCATAGGCATTGTGATACACTCCTATAATCCTGGCAGGCCTGAGGTTGAAGCAAGACGATTGCCTAGGGTACACAGCAAGTTTGTATAATTAATTAATTAATTAAAAGCTTAACTCATTTGAAAAGTTTTCCTTTTCTTGGCCTTTATATTTTTGGCTGGAATTTCTCTGTGAGGCTGTAAGCCCGCAGCCCTCAGCAGCTGGCATAGAGACTCTCATACACTCCAAGGACCACGGGGGGAAAAAGGCAACAACATCCTGGCTCGTCAATGATTATTGTTGCACTGTGCTAACCTAAAATGCCAGTGTCAAGAATTCATTTACATGACAGAAAAAGAAAGCCCCATCATTCATTATTGTTTTTAGAACTCTGTACTGATCAACTGGATGCAATTCCCAACTGGAATGCTATATAACAGAGAGGAAAAGGAGGAAGGGAGAGAAAAAATAATGAACAAAACCTTATGCATATGCATATTTACTTTTTAATAAAAACATCAGTGAAGAAGAAAAAGAAAAGATCTCCTGAGTAAATTAAGAGCATGGCGGGGGGGAGGGAGGAAAAGGAGTGGGAAGAAATGTATAGTTCAATTAAAAACAATAAATTATAAAACAGTGAAGTACAAATTCAGAATGCTAGTCACAAATTTCTAAAAATGGAAAACATTTTCTGCCATATCTACTTTCTTGGAGTAGTATATAGAGAATTTCAATGACCCTTTGTTTTAAACATTTTAACTGAATATTCTAAATGTGGACAATATGACAGAAAACACTAATGTTGAAATCTGCTAAATTGTAATAGACAATATTCAAGAAACTCAAACATCAGGCATTTTTTTCAAATAATGTAGAAGTATTTGTCACTGTCAGTCTCACTGTTCCAAAAGAGGATGTGCATTTTGTTTACTTAGTTAATGAGTGAACAATTCTTACTGTTTATAATTGAGTTGTTAGCACTTTACAGTTTTAAACACACACACACACACACACACAATTCCTTCTCACCCAGATACTCACACTAACTACATGTCTTTTCTGCAGCCCTAAACAAAGAACCACCCAGAGAGAACACAGAGCCTGGGAATGCAGAAATACTTCTAGCTGTTGACATCAGGCAAAGATGAAGAGCAGATCTCACACACACATAAGAAGAGGTGAGGCGGTAACCAAGAACAGACTGCTAATCTGCTACTGAGAAGGAGCACAATAGTGCAGGGAATTGGTGACAGTAAGTAACAGGGTTTGATACCTTTTAAAGGACTTCACATCAAAGCACCTGCATGGTGGAAAATGTCTTCTTGGCTTAAGTTTTAAAGGTAACAAAGCCATTCACTGCAAAGGCTAAGGAGGTGGCCAAAAAACATGCCTCTGGCTGCTTTAAGTGGTGCCCCTCACTGCAGACGAGTACCTTCCGCAGGAGTGATTTTTCAGGCTCATTCTAAAATGGTTAAGAAAAATGAGAAACATGGTGCAAGTACATTTTTGGCTCAGCATAAACCATTCATTGATTTGTGGGCTGCAAGTCCTCCAGGGGGTGTTACGAATCCATATGATAGCTAGATTTTTACAT